TTCGTTATACAGTTTTGCAAGAACTAAAGCCTAGCCCCCAGCTCCCTCCCCATCCCCAAATCCTCTAATCATAGCTTCAGGTATCAGGCACCTACCCGATATCCCAGCGTAAAGTCTCAATGTCCTTGAATGGTCTAAAGGAAAAGCATAACTGTAAGTGCCCGAAGGCAATAGAGTTGTCAGAACTACAAGAAGTCAACTGGTAAACTATGAGGTCTCAGTCGTGGCATATTCTGTAACAGTATACAAATTACAAAGTTTTCAAAAAGGCAGAAAAGGACAGACAAGGGAAAGCTATCAGTGCCACCTTGTGGAAGGACTTTTATTAAAATACCCAAGGTAATCTAGCCACACCCAGATCATGTCAGAGCCTCTGCACTCCACACTGAGGAGCAGCCAGCAGACAGCAGAACCGCTTCACTAATCGTTTATAGGTAAAGGTGCTGATTGGCAGAGGGTCCATTCTAATTGTCTCCTGTGCCTCGGCCAGTTATTAAATAATCTGTATATCATCCCTAATTATATGAATACTACATAAAACTTCCACATCTCCAACACCATACACACACAAAACCACACACACACTATTCTGCTTGGTTCCTCTACACAGCATGTTTCTCTAAATGTGGAAAGTTTGCATTGACCTTGCACAACACCCCATCCCCAACACACACATACACACCTATAACACAATTGCTTATAGTATAACTTTTTCTTTCAAAAATAAACTTAATTTTATTTCACTTTTTTATTTTTTTAGAAATTATTTCTCTTCTTTCATTTTATGGTGAATATTCCCACCTGTATTAGTTACTTACGGCTGCATTAAAAATTACCCCAAAATTTGATAGCTCAAAATAATAAATATTTACTATCTCACAGTTTCTGTGGGTAAGAAATTTAAGAGGGGCTTAGCTGGATGGTTCTGGTTCAGGGAATCCATGAGGTTATTGTCAAGATATTGGGCAGGTCATCTAAAGTCTTGATGGGGCTGAAGGATCTACTTCCAAAATAGCTAGCTCCCTTACATGATACTGGTATAAGCCTCAGCTCCTCACTACATGGATCTCTTCATAAGGTTCCTTGAGTATCCTCACAAATGGCCCACCACAACATCCCTTCTTAAGTCCAATTTCCAGAATATCGGGTCCCAAATGTGTAATGTGTTTAGACAAAAGATCAGAATATTTAAGACACTGAGAATTCTGACTACAGTCCAAGAGTCACAGGAACTCAACCCAAGCAACCCTTGCCTTTAGTGGGACACAGGTAGAGCTCCTACCTGGAGGAAGGAACTCTCCGACTCTGGCTTCACCTCTAACTGCCACTGGCATCAAGCCCTCATGGTACTGGGGCCTCAACATGAAAAGGCACTAGGTCAAAACATTCTTATTAGCTGGGGAAAGGGCAGCTAGAATGCCCTAAAACTGTTCTGGTGAGCTTTTCAATGACAGTTATTTCCAATATTTTACAATGGACAGAGAACAAAATGGAAGGAAGACCCCACTGTTTTTATAAGATTTTTTGGGTGGTTCTAACCCAAGCTCATATCTTCCCCCACTGACTTCTTTTACACTTGTTAGTTTTACTGCACAATTAATAAATATTATCCGATTGTCTTTTATGAGTAATTTAGCACTTTATTCTGTGTTATGAGAACAATTACATTTGAATTGAAATTCCCCCCAAGTATATTGTACATTCCTTGAAGTCAGAGACATTAGCTTATCACTCAGCCCACCATCAGGGACAACAGATTTACTCCAGGAATATGTCTTCCTCAACACACTCACATCACACACTCACATACCCATGGACACATGCACCACACCTGCACACAACAGAAGCAGAGCTCTATGAAGAGCAAGCTTACTTATCCCTTTTGACAGAAATAGTAATTAGACTTAGCCAGGATCTTACTGACACAGTAAGATCCTTACTCTTTCCTTAAAAGCACAGACATAAAAAGTACACCTCAAGAAGGTGCTACACAGTATGCAACATAGTCCCCAAACTCATGCAATTAAAAAGGGACACACAGGCCCAAAGAAACAGAAAACAAGTTGCTGGTTCCCAAAGGGAGGAGGTGGGGGGATGGGAAATAAGTAAATAAATGGACACAAACACACATTATCACAGTCCTGGAAACTCACACACACTCCCAGAAATGTACATTCACAGTCTTGCCTATGCATTCTACTTATTTTTTAAGTCATTGGTTCCTTTAGCATTTTTGAGCACTGTGTATGAGGCTCCATATTAGATGCATGGAATTCAAAGATGGAATGATGACACCTTGGCTCCTACACAAATAGGCAACACCGATCCAATAACATAACTGCCATACTGGGATCCCCTATTTATTTAAGGTGAGATAGGAGTACAGAAAGAGCCTAAATCTTCCTCTGTAAACACTTTAGAGGAGAAAGGAAAAGGTCAGTACTGCAGGAGAGGGGCTGTGGGGGAGGGGGGGGTGCGCAGCATGTGCAGAGTGCTGAAATTGTTAAGTTGCATGGGTCCTAGCCAGGAAACCATCATCAGAGAGGACTTTTCCTTTTACTTAGAGGCTCCCTGGGTCCAAGAACAAAAAAATTAAATAGCATCCTCGACAATGGGACACAGCTCAAGGCAGAGACCCTGGACCCTTTCTCCCAGGGTCTGTTGGAAAGGAGAGGCAGAGCAGTGGAGAAGGGAGAAGAATTCCTACAAAGGGAGCCACTGGCCTTTCCAGAAGGAGGCCCAGGTGCATGGAAGGATGCACTTCTACACCTGCAGAGATCCACCCATGGGGGCAATCACTGTTGGGGGCTCAGAGGAGAAGAGCATCTCCCCCTCCCCCCCAGAAATATCTTCCCTCTGGAGAAGATGGGGTTTGAGCTGGTTCCCAAGGAGGAAAGGAAGGGGCATAGGGTGGTGGGGAAAGATGTGGGAAGCTTTCCCCTGATGAGTGGAAGGAGCACAGAATGGAAAGCAAGGCAAAGAAACTAAGACAAATTCAGCTTGAAAGGGTTAAGTGCTGGATTCTTGTCTGCAGAGGCAGGGCAACCAGAAACCCTGGGGGCGTGAGAGAGACTGGTGGCTGGGAGGCACAGCAGACAAGGAGGGAAAGGAACGAGTTGGGATAAGCTAGAAAGATTGATATGGAGCTGTGTGGGAAATGAGAGTGCAGAGGGGAAGGGCTTAACCAGGGCTGTGAATGCACACACTGGGATAAAAGGGTAGGTTTGGCAGCTCCTAGAACCTGGAGGGAACAGGTGAAGGCAATGCTTCAGCACTGTCTGGGTAAGTAAAGTGCACTTCCCACAGGGTCAGAGCAGGCTTTGAACTTGGAGGAAGGAGAAATTCCTGTTCATTTTGCTGGAAACAGAGCTTTATTTTATTTTTTATTTTTTTAAAGGAGTTCGGTGTTGTTTTTTTTAAATATGTCTTTATTGATTTCAGAGAGAGGAAGGAAGAATAAGAGAGAAAGGAACATCAATGATGAGAGTCATTGATCAGCTGCCTCCTGCACACCCCCAATGGGGGATGGCGCCTGCAACCTGGACGTGTGCCCTGACCAGGAATTGAACCATGATCTCCTGGATCCTAGGTCGATGCTCAACCGCTGAGCCACGCCCAGCTGGGCTGGAGCCAGACCTTTAAACGGTCAAATGTGTGAGCCGGGTAGGTGAGGACAGAGGCAGGGAAGTACATCTTCAGGGCTAAGAGCCCTAGGTTTGGAATGAAAGAGACCTTGGCTCAACCAGCCCGGCTAGTTGTGTGTCACTGGCCAAGTTAACCAGCTTCACTAAGCCTTGGATTACTCACATACACAGGGGTACAAAAATATTTTCCACATGCGGTTCTTCCAGAAAGCACTTGGCGCAGGGCCTGGTACATAAGCAAACTCAACTGTTTTCATAAGTATGATTCGTCTGTATCACTAGAAGCACGTCGCTCAAACGAGGATACAGATGGTCGGGTCACAGCTGAGACACTGTGTTCAGACCCAGGGCGCCTTCCATGACCGGCAGCAACGAGCTCCACCCTCCCCCGGGAGGGGCGCCCGGAGGTCCTGGAAATCATGAAATACCAAGGGAAATTAAGAAATTCTGAACCTTTTAACCCACAGGACGTTTGGGGGCGTGAGGACGGTTATAGGAAGAGGCCGGCAGTAACCTTTGGGGTGACTTCAGGAGCAGCCCTGCGCTGCTGAAGGCTGCGGAGCCGGGACACCTGGCTTCGGATGCCCAGGCCTTCAGCATCCTGTCAAGCTCCTGGGCGTCTGCCAAGCCTCGATTTTTTCATCTGTAAAACTGTTCGTTAGATTACCTCGTAAGATTATTGTGGCAATTAAATGAGTTAGCACCTGTAAAGTGCTTAGACTAGTATCTGGCATATAGTAAATGCTCAGTTTGTTAATTTTTAAATTCCAGGGCACCCGATGACAACCCAGTACTTTTAATAATCCAAGCAACAGAAAACCAAGAACAGTCCCCAGTACTGTAGTGACTCCTCCTTACTGGACGTGTTCAGAAACTCACTGAGTCGTGACCGGTCGCGGCCACTGCGGAGGAGAGGCGCCTCCAAGGCGTACGTAGATTTGCCATCTCAGCCCCTGGGCATCCGAGGCGGCCCAGCGCTCGGGCGACGGGGGCAGTTGGCGGGTGATGCAGTAACTCCCACCGGCCGCCAGGCAGCAGCAGAGCCCAGCCCCGCGTGGCTTCATCCATAGAAAATAATCCCTAATTCGTTCCGGGGTTTGCTCCGAGGCTGTTTGCTTTGCTCCCATCTCCGAGTCGCCGTAATCCCGCCGGTGGTTGACTATCCAGCCAATCAGCGAGGGCCCGGCTGGGCGGGGCGGGGCAGGTGAGCCTATCGTTACTCAGGGAGACGTTTTAGCACCGCCCCCCTGCGGCTGGGCCAATCCCCGCGGCCGAGAGGGGGGTCTTCCGCCGCCGGTCGGAGACTGCGCGATTCCGGGCGGCGCCGGCGCGGGGCCGGTGGGGGTTACCCGACCGGACCAGTGGGCGGAGCCTCTCCCGGTGACCCCGGCCCTGGGCCCTCGCTCGGCCATGGGCGTGCAGCCCCCCAACTTCTCGTGGGTGTTGCCCGGCCGGCTGGCGGGGCTGGCGCTGCCCCGGCTCCCCGCCCACTACCAGTTCCTGCTGGACCAGGGCGTGCGGCACCTGGTGTCCCTGACGGAGCGCGGGCCCCCGCACGGGGACAGCTGCCCCGACCTCACGCTGCACCGCCTGCGCATCCCCGACTTCTGCCCGCCGGCCCCCGAACAGATCGACCGCTTCGTGCAGATCGTGGACGAGGCGAAC